TATAAATTATTATACTCAATTTATGAAATGCATGTACAGTCTTTTAAATTTTGAATTTTGATTATGTTTAATACAACATTTAAAATTTTGTTGTACCATTTATACTAATCTGAATGGAAACATTTGTACAAATTACTGTATCATGATAAAGATTTCAGTAATTAGTCAGCATAAAGCCCAGTATACACAAACTTCGTATTTTACATCAAATTATAAAGTATAAAATATACATTGTACGAAATTTTGAGATAAGGATGGTACATACGACCTTCTTTAGCTAATGTTTATTCTTTCTTCTTCTTTTTATTCCTGTGATATTCTTCTTTTATATTATTTGTAAAGACTCAGTGCTCTTAGCCTTGAGTGTAGAGTTCCAGCTATAAAGCTATGTAAACTTGGGAGACAAACCTAGTATTGAATTGCAACGAAAGTTGGTAAAGGTAATGAAAATTTTTAAGAAACGACATTTTCCCTTTCCTAAATTTGTGACAATATAAATATGTATTATAAGTTTGGTTTGGCTTTATTTACTTTACTTTTAAATAATAGGGGACAAAAATTTGTTAACAACTGATTTTTGTTTGTAGTTTCAATTTTCAAGGGATATTACGTGATCCACATAACCTCATTATCTGTATCCGTTTGTTCCACGCGGAGGTTATTTTTACTAGTTTATCGAAATGGGCTCTATGATAGGTAGAACCCTATAAATATTTCACACTCTCATGGTTTTAGGTCACCAAATCCGCTCCTCTTCTTAGAACAAAACACACCATCGTGCTTGAATAAGTGAGGGTTTGGAAACTAGAACTGTGACCACGAATCAACTTTGCAATGGCTGAAGGTTAGTGTTCTCAATCTGTTTCGCTTCCGCATAGCCTTATTATGGTTTTCATTTGGCTTTTCTTCATTTACAAAATTAAACTGAACCCCGTAAGAAATATAATTTTTTTTAATCTTTTGTTGAATCAGTTTTTATATTTTTAGTAGATTCAGCATTTTAAAATCAATTTAATGCATTTTTTTAACACCTTTACTATCCTAAAAGTTAATAATAAAATAATCTACAAACTTACTGTATCCAATTAAATATTACTAGTCCGCCAAAGACCATTACAGGCAAAAAAATTCGTCTGTAGGTAGGTAGATGAAAAGTTAGTAAAAATGGCCATATTTATAGACTAATTTTTCTCGTCTGTAACCCCTGCTCCAAAATATCTGCTAATTTTGAAATTATAATTGAAAATTTTCATTTGTAATTCTATCTATGATTTTTTTGTGACAAATGGCGGGCTGTAATATAGACAGATTTCTCTAAAAAAATTTGAATATCCATCTATAAATCCGTATTATAGACAAATAAAATTAGTCTGTGAACTTATTTGATGATTTTTTGTGTTAGACTGATATAATACAATAAATATGAATGTTTGTCTAATAGCTAAGGTATATTGAAATTGGTGGATTTATATTATTGATGAAAAGTGATTAAATGTGGCATGATTGTGGAATCATGAGATGTGTGATTATAATATATGAGTCATGATAGATTTATGGGTGTGATTATAATACAGATATTATAATACATCATAAGATGTACTTATAATAAATGTATTATAATACATTGATTTATATAATTATAACTCACATATTATGACATGTTGATATATGAAAAGGATATGAAAATTAAATGAGAAATGTTGAGACTAAGTATAGATAGTCACAAAGATACATTGGAGTGTGAAAGATGAGGGTGCTTTTGAAAATAGTGAGATAATTAGGGTGGTAGATGCTTTTCTATGATTATGCACAATTAATAAAAATAAAGGAAAAGGACACAATAAGTCTCACACTCATTTCCTGACCTAAACCCCTTACCATACTTTTGCTAAAAGGGGTAGATTGACATACATTGTATTCAATAGCTAACCAATAACTATCTATGCTATGAAGTCTTCAAGAGATCCCAGGGACAATGATTGTGAAATGATGATGGATGTGAAATAGTATATAAATTGTGTGATTATAATATATGTGTTGAAACATATTGATTATTGTTGTTATGATATATATGTTGTAACACATCCACATGTGTGATAAGGATATATGTATTGTGACATATTGATTGATGTAATATAATAATGTATTATGATGTACAGATTAGTTTAAAAATGTATGTTATAAATATTTGCTAAGGTGATTGATTTGTTGTATATGCTACGTTGTGGTAATAATTTGTATAATCTGGGTGTTATTGTTAACTAAAGTATAATAGATAATATTTTCAGTATTATATATATATATATATATATATATATATATCTTCTATCGAATAAGAGATTTAGTAGAGCGGTAAATATTCACCTTTACTAACTATTTTTAGGAAATGGATTTGAAGAAATTAAAGAGGATTAACCAATCTAGAATCACATTCTTGTTGGAATTGTAAGGAAGAGCTACTCTATTAGTGTTTAGAGTATTTTCAAGACATGTATTATTTTATTGAACTTTTATTCAAACTGACAAAGTTATGTAATTATTTTAAATAATGATTTTTAAATTTATAATATTTTAATAAGTTTAGTTGTAAATATTAATTTGAAGTATATCTGTAATATTAATAATTGGCTATTTAAATTATTGATTACAATCGTTTTATAAAAATTTACCCTGCTACAAAATAATGTCATTTGTATTTCAAATTTTTATGTATATATCATGAATTAAGTAAATTCTTGAAATGAAAATATTAGTTTTCACCCTATTTACAAATTTAACTTTTATAAATGCTTCCTTTAAAAATTTTGAATACCTTCAAGTTTTCGCTAAATTAAATAATAGAATAAAAGTTTGATCTCTTCCTTAATTCTTTTAACCATAACTATAAAAAGTATTTACAATATCTGATTTTATTTACTACAAATTATGTTAAAAAGTTATTTTCAAATAACGATTATATTATTTCGCTTTGCAAATGATCACTTTAAAAGATGTACAATGACGTAGTCTTTTGAGATTTACTCGATGAATATATAAGTCAAACGTGAGAAAAGTTTTAAATTTCTTGAAGAGTAATGCACTTAAATTATCTAGTTACGTGAGTGACAAGGTAGAAGTTGCCTTCTATGAAAGACTTAGGCATGAGATTGAATTCTGAAGCATATTCATTGTTGAACATTTCATAGCAATCTTTACAATTTTAAATGTATAGTATTTGTTGTGGGAGGCTCAATCAAATTTATTTAATTCAAGATAATTCACTACATATTAATTCAATCCTTTAAGACATTAACGCTTAAGTATAAAATCATTTCTTTGCCCACTGAAAAAACTTCTATATCTTGCTTCATTCTCACTTTTTTCCATCAACAAGAAACTGTTTGTACAATGAAAATTCGAGTAATGATTCATAAAACTGTTAGAGATAAATTTTATTAATAATTTCTTGACTTGTTTATAATTTCGTCATCATTAAAGGATAATCTTATTTATGATTTTATTTAGTTTTTCTTTATTTTCATATATATATATATATATAAAGTAGTTACGTCTTTTCTTTTCCTTTTGATGCGCCATTCATTTTGTCCTTCTAAACTCTGGTTGTGAGACTCTACTGCATTTGACTTTGAGCGCACAAGTTGGAACATGTAGAATGTTAACCTTCTTAAAGAGTAAAATTGATTGTAGATTACGCTCAAGGTTTTGCCAAAATTTTGTTTTCAAGACAATGATTTAAAACAGAATACAAATGTTTGTTCTATATTTTTCAATAGTTATATACTCATGTATGCATCGATATTTGAATTAAAACCTGAGAAAAAAGTTGACTATTAAATTGCATAGGATAGCACTTAACGGTTGAGAAATAAACTCTTAATAGATATATTGCTCTGTTATTTGGATAGTTCTAAATAGCTGCATTCAGTGTATCTAGTTATGTGAGTTTGAAGGTATAGTAGCTTTTTATGAAATATTTAAGCAATATTCTTTCAAAACACTCATGGCACTCATGAGCATCTCAAGGTGTATATAAAAGCCTCAAACATTTATGAATTATTTTTATCATATTTAGAATTTATTATTAAAATAATTAAACAGTATTTTTATTTTATTGTAAATTTTTATTTCATAACATCTGAAAAATAAATAAATTTTTGTTTTCATAAAATAATAATTAAAAATTGATTGAGTTTAAATTTTGTAAATTTAAAATAGCTAAATATTTTAGTAAAATGATCATGCTTTTCTTTAGGAAGAAAAAATATTATTAAGTTTAAGAATTTAGTTTTCAAACTATTGTGTTATGAAATTTATAAAAAAAAAAATGAAGTGTTAACTATTAATGTAAAATTTTTACATTGTTAAATATAACTCTTAAAATAAAATTAAGAAAGAATTTAATATCTCTGAATATTGCTGTTTTTTAATTTAATTCTCATAAAATAAATTTCACCGTCACATTTAGCTTAACTTAAAATACCAGGAATATTCCAGATGCTCGAGAAGTCAGGTCAGAACACAAACCACCAATAGTGTGTTTTTATTCGTAAATGCTACTTTAAATATTTATTATTCTCTGTCTACATTATCTGAAGCGTTGGACTCAGATGTCTCATACATTTTTATAAACATGTTTTCCCGTGTTAAAGTTCAGTAGAGAACTTCACATAATAAATTTAATGCTGAGGCCGCTGCCAATCTTGGGGATGACTTAGTTATGTGTGAATGCTTCTTCCTCTAATTAATTAGTCTAATTAATAATAAATATTTTGTGTACAAATGTGGTAGCACCTAGGGCTTTATTATATATGTGTATTGTTAGATTAGAGATAAGCTCTTAAACGAATAAATAATGGAAGATTAGATGAAAGCATTGAATTAATAAATAATGGGTTGACTGAATCAACAAATAATAAGGTTTTTGCTTCCTCCGTTTCCAATCTCAAAATCTACACATTGCAGCTTTATTTTCGATACAGTCTCTCTCGATCATTTCAAGGATGGCTGAACCAATTCCATTCGCTGTTACTTCAAATCTCATTCACAGGTTCGTTTCCTTATCCTTTCTTCAACCTTTAATTTAACTCTATTTAGTGTACCTTTCCATTGCTCTTCCAAGCCTTCATGTGTTTGTTTCCTCATATTATTTTGAAATTTCTACCTTTTATCTTTTTGTTACAATTTTATCTTTTTAATTAAAGTCTTAACAATTAATATCATTATATTTCTATTAAATACCAATTAAATGACATTTTTAATTTACTAACCTATTATTTTATTTTAAATTTCTCTAAATTCTCGAATCCTATTATTGTTAGGTGGTAAAATATAATTACCAAGTTTAACACCCTATATAATTGATTGTCTAATTGAAATACTATGGGTATGTTGAATATCATATGCAAGCAGGGTTTTATAGTGAGACTAAATATTATTGGTAAAATACTAAAAATTATTCTAGAAAAATTAAATAATATCATGTATATGAAATAACAGCATTAGACAACATTTTAAATGCATTATATTAATATCCAATAATAAATTTTTATATATATATATTTTATCTGTGTGAATTTTAAGAATATCTTTAAAAAAAATTCCAAATGACAGTACGCCTAAATTTAGTTCATTTTTTTTATTGTGCCAAGTGATTTTTATTATGTTAATTATTTATTTTTAATTTATTAAATTAAAATTTGAAATTTTATTATTTTATTTTATTTTTTATTTACCTAACGTAATAAATATTTATTATTAATGATTAAATTAAATTTTTTAATATTTATAAATGTGTTAAATTTTAAAATTGTTGTATAATTATTTAGTAAAAAATATTTTAATCTTATAATACCGTACAAATTACCGAAAAATCAGTAATAATACTATAGTGTGTCGGCAAGTAATTAAATCAGTAATAGAAAAATTTGAATACGATACCTATTAATATTTAGTAGCCTGAGTTAATATAACATTTAAATTCAGCACCATATATTTAGTTGAATCACTCAATTTAGATTTTAAGTACTAACAAACCAAATATGATACTAATAAAGTGGGTTAACACTACCAATTTTTAATGAACATATCTATTAGTTGATAAGTAGAAAAGATATAAATAATAGTAATGATACCACTATCCAAATTTCCTTTAATGAAATATCAATCAATTTTTATGTATTTTATTTTATTTTGTTAGACAAGATTACGAGCTATGTTGATGACAAACTTGTTATCACACAAATAGTTTTATAGAACTAATGAATTTTAATTTAGGGTTATTAAGAATGATCTTTATCCATAAAAGTTCACATATTCAGCTTCAACACTTAATTTGGTTATAATACTTTATTTCTTACTCTTCCACTACTAGATTTTCTCCTAAAAACATATAATATTTTGAAGTGAATCTTCTATCTACAATGAAACCTCCATAGTCAGTGTTTGTATATACTGACAAGGCAAAAAACTGTCCCCTTTTAAAGAGAATGTCTTGTTCAAGACTTCTTTTTAGATACTAAAAAATCTTGTTTACTGGTTGTCAATGTCCTTCACATTGATCATGCATAAGTTGGCTAGTAATGCTAACAATATATGCAATGTCAGGTCTAGTATGAGATAGGTAGATTAACTTATTCACTAATATTTGGTATTGAGCTTTATCTATATTATGACTTTTTTCTTCTCTTCCTATTCGACAATTTTGTTCTATGGGTATTACAGTAGCTTTAAATTCCAATTTTCCAATCTTCTTAAGAAGATCTAGAACATATTTTATCCAAGAGATAAAAAAAAATTTATTTTAAGGTAGCCACCTTAATTCTGAGGAAGTATTTTAATCTTCTTAAATTATTCATCGCAAAATGAGCAGCTAGTTTCCCCTTCGAGTTCTATTTTATGTAATGCCTATACTCTTTTTAATATTTTTCCTTTGTTATATATATAAATTTTGATAAAACTTAATTAAAATAGATAAATGATATGAATAATTTAAAAAAGTTTACATTTATATAAATTTGAAACCAATAGAAGTTAACAAAATTTTAAAACTTCATACATATATCTTATTTATATTAGAGATGAAACTTGATTTTTACAATATAAACTTTCTTTTTATTAAAGTAAGGACTAAAATTGTATTTTAAATAATTAATTACTTTATATATATATATATATATATATATATATATATATATAATCTCTACAAACTTAACGTAGTTTTGTTTGCTGAAAATAATTTGCTGAAAAGTAGGTTTGTTTATAATTTAAACTTATATATATATATATATATATATAAGTTTAAATTATAAACAAACCTACTTTTCAGCAAATTATTTTCAGCAAACAAAACTACGTTAAGTTTGTAGAGATTTTTGAAAAATTAAAAAAATGATAAAATTTATTAAAAAAATTATTTTAGTAAGAAAAATTCAAAATAATATTTAGTATGATTTCCTTAGCTTTGCTTATATTCTAAGGATACCATAGCGCAAGTAAACATCTCAAATCAAGCATGAGGAGATTGCTCAAGCTTATATAAACTTTGTTTCCACTATTAATAATATTAAATCTTAAGAGAATATCTATATTTACTTTCTCTTGAGTCTCATTTTTTACATCAAACATATGTAAGATCGAAATATGTTGCTAATAAAAATGATAATTCTTATATTATTCATTTTTGTCATTCGTGCAAATGTCTGCTCGTTGTAAAAGTTATTGGTCTGAGTGTATCTTTTTGCAACTAATCTAGTATTGTATCAACCAAGGGTACCATCTGGTCGATATTTAATTGAGTAGATCCACTTGCAATCCATCATTTTCTTGTTCAAGTCATTCTACAATCTCTCAAGTAATTTTCATTTCTAATTTGTTTATCTTTTTATTCATGACTCAAACTCAATTCTCATCCTCTAAGGCTTCTTGTACTAACTTAGAGATATTTAAAGAATCAATAACAAAGAGAAAACTTTGATGTTGTACAAATAGAAGTTTAGTGGATAAAAACTGAGAAATATAATACTTGACACAAGAATATTTTTCTTTTTGCAAAGCAAATTGTTTAAAGGAATGTTTAATAACTCAAGATTAATGGCACTAAAACTAACCTCTAGTTTCGATTGATTGAAGTTGTCAATGATTTAAGTCAGATTTTCTTCTCCTTAAGATAGGTGTACTTGCTTTCATTTGCAATGAGTCACTTTCTTTTTTTACTAAGTCAAGGGAAGGAGAGTAAATTCGTACAAATAATAAGGGTTAAGAGGAAGAAAAAACAAAGATTCATATGGATTACTAGATTCAACCTCGTGATAACTCTTCCTCTGAAGTTGGGTATGTGAGTAAAATGACTCTATCTTATTACAGGTGACATCTATATAAATGTAGAGTGAACAACTCAAAGGATGATAACACTTACAACTCAAAGTTAAATATGGCAATGTAAGAGAGAAGTTAGAGATTATAATATTGAAGATTTATTTTTCTTATCATTAAAAAATTGTTAATAATACTACACTTATTTTAATATTAATGAAAGTAGATATTATTATTCTATATCAAGAGAACTTATTTTTCATTATATTTCTAGTTTTTGTAACAGTAATTTATTGTAACTTGTGAATTTAATATTCTTATTGTGGTTTTAATATTTTTAATTATTATAGATGTTGCTAATATTTTGTAATTTTATCGTTCGTTTTATAGCTATATAATATTATTTTATTACTTTCATAATTTTACACTATAAAAAAATATTCTGTTTTGATTTTATATTTTTATAAATATAGATAATATACTATTGTGATTAAAATATTATAATATTATTTAAAACAGGAGAACGAAATATTTGACCACATTTTTAAATTTTATGATTTTTTATTTAAAAAATAATATATTTTTTAAATAAAATTATTTTATTGATATAAAATATTATTTGTGAATATTTCTTCTATTATAATTTATATTTATAGTTTTTTATGCAATTGGCTTTGTGGGGTTACTATTAAAATTATAGAAATTGAAATATTTATTTAAAGCAGAAAAAAAGTAAAAATTTGTTTCATAATTAATGTGTAAAAATATTTAATGTATGTTTATTTTTCAATAATTAAGGCATTGAAATCTTATAAAATAAAAGACATTGTAGCGGTCACCTGTAAATTTTAAAAGTTATTTAAATAACTTATTTTTAATATAAATAATTAAAATAATTTATTAAAACATAATTCTTAAAAGATATCATTTTGAAGAATGACTAAGTTCATAGACTACTTGATCATTATCAAAATTATGTTATGCAATTAAATATTAAAAAAAATCCCTTCTATTAACACTAAAGTTGTTTGAAACAATTTTTTTTTTACAGTTGAATTTTTAACAAATATTATCTTAAGAGATTTTGAGTACAAATATTTCTTAAAATCAATAATTAAAATATGTATTTAATTTTAAATATAAATAACAACTTGAAGGTAAAAAGTTCTTTAGATATAAATAATCATATGCTATAAAAAAATTTAACTATAATGTATTTGATCAGTTTTTTAAAAGAAAAAGAAAAAGAAAGTATGAGGTGGTAGCTTGGATGATTTTATAATTTGAAAAGTGTTAACGAATATACTCTCCTCCTTGCTTTTTATCCGTAACCATTTTGAAAAAAAAAATTATTCATTTTTAATGATTCATTAAATGTTTAAAATAACATTTATTATTATTTTTCTTACACTCTTACTATTTACATACTATATATACTTTTCAACATGCTCTTGATTATTTACTTATATATATATTGTAAGTTAACCAGAGAAGGGAATGATAAGGTGTGTGATGTGACGGAGGAAGATGGTAAAATATTTATTATATCATTTTAAGGATCACTAAGTCACTTCCGATCCATTTGGTGTAACTTGTCATCTCATTCACAGGTTGGCCTCTGCAGATTTTATTGAATTTGGAGAAGAGTATGATGTGAAGGAAGATTTGGAAGAGCTTAAGAAGACAATTGAATCTATCAATGATGTGCTCCTTGATGCTGACCACAAACAAGATCAAGTTCGCGTGCGTAATTGGATAATGCACTTCAAGGAAGTACTTCATTGCGCAGATGACTTGTTGGATGACCTTGCTATCGAATTTATGCGACACAAATTGGATGTAGGACATGGAAAACAAGTAAACAAGGTACTTTATTCCTTTTCATCTTCAAATCGAATTGATTTTCCCATTCAAATGGCTGAAGAAATTAGAAGAACACAAGAAAGTTTTGATGCTGTGGTAAGAGGCATGTATAATTTGAATCTATGTCCAAGATCTATAGTGGTCAAGCAAACTGACATTGGATGGAGGGAAACATGTTCTTTTACGTTAGAATCTGATATCATTGGAAGAGATGACAGTAAAAAGGAGATTATTAGTCTGTTGAGACAACCTCATGAAAACCAAAAAGCTTCCGTGATTGCCATCGTTGGCCTCGGTGGCTTGGGGAAGACAACTCTTGCTCAATTGGTGTATAATGACTTGGAAGTGCAGATTTTATTTGAAATGCAAATGTGGGTGTGTGTCTCTGATAACTTTGATGTGAAAACTATTCTGAAGAAAATATTAGAATCAATTACGGGCGACCAAGTTGAAGTATCATTAGGCAACTTGCAAAGAAAACTTCATGAAAAAATAAGTGGTAAGAAATATTTGTTGGTACTGGATGACATTTGGAATGAGAGACATGACAAATGGGTTGAATTGAGAAAGTACTTGATGTGTGGCGCTCAAGACAGTAAGATTTTAGTGACTACTCGAAGTGAAAATGTAGCAAAGGCAATGACTGCCAGCGTTTCCTATTCCTTAAAAGGTTTGACTGATGGAGAATCTTGGTGTTTATTGAAGAATATTGCATTTGAAGATGATTCCAAAGGAGTGAATCAATATCTAGAATCAATGGGCAAAGAAATAGCCAAAAAATGTAAAGGGGTTCCACTGGCAGTTAAAACCTTGGGAGGCCTGTTACGAGGACAAAACGAAGAAAGTGATTGGGAGAATGTTTTACGTGGTGACTTCTGGAAATTATGTGAAGAGCAAGATAGTATCATGCCAATTCTAAAACTCAGTTACCGCAACTTGTCGCCCGAAATGAGACAATGTTTTGCTTATTGCTCTTTGTATCCCAAGGATTCAAGAATTTCAAAGAATGTGTTGATTCAGTTATGGATGGCACAGGGTTACCTTAAATGTTCAGTCGAAAAACAGCACATGGAGGATGTCGGTATTCAATTTGTAAAGATGTTTTTGATGAACTCATTTTTTCAAGATGCAGAAAATGACGAATACGGTGAGATCATTAGTTTCAAAATGCATGATTTAATGCATGATCTTGCAATGCTTGTTGCTGGCAATGATTATTGTTACTTGAATAGTAAGGCAAAAAAAGTTGAAGGTAGACCCATGCACGTGTCATTGGAATCTGATGAGACCATTCATTTGTTGAAATCATTAGATCAGAGCAGGCTGCGAACTTTGATTTTGCCGTATTACTTCGAAGAGGAGGGATATTTGTCCGTTATTGCAAAGTTCAAATACTTACGTGTCTTGAGGATGCATCATCTCTCTGATTCCACTGAACATTTGAAGCATTCTTACCTTGATTTAACGCAACAAACAAGTCTTCCCAAATCCATGAGCAATCTTGTTTTCCTACAAACATTAAAATTGAAGAAGTGCGATGAAGAATCATTTTCAGGTAGTCACAAAACTAGTCAATTTGAGGTGCCTTGATATTGCTGATTATGACTCCATGATGAGTGGGATGGCAGTTGGGTTGGGAAAATTATGCTCTTTGCAATTCTTATCGACCTTTGTTGTGGGAGACCGTCAAGAGATAAAATATGCCACGTTAAATGAACTGAAGGACTTAAACCTAATAAGAGGCAAATTAAAAATTCAGTGTCTCAATCGTGTCAGAGAAGTGGCTCTGGAATCTCAGGACGTAAACTTAAAAGAAAAAATTTTCCTTCGATCCTTGATTCTAGATTGGTCATATCCAGACATATGTAACAGTGACAGCTTACAGTTGTTGGAAAACCTTCAGCCCCACCGTAATCTTAAGCTATTGAAGGTGAATAATTATCCAGGCGTGCTTTTCCCAAATTGGCTCTCTCTCTCCTCACAAATGTTGTTCACATCCGTCTCTATAAGCTTCTTAATTGTGGCTGTCTCCCTCCGTTGGAACGTCTCCCGTCCCTGGAGTCACTTGTGATACAGTATCCCTGTGAATTGGAATACATATATCTCTACGAAGATGGTTTTGCAGTAACCTTCTTCCCCTCTTTGGAGAGACTCTCATTATTTGGTTGTCCCAAGCTCAGGGGATGGCGGAAGCGGGGAGATGATATCAATGATTCACATAATCTCTCCTCGTCTCTTTCATTTCCTCGTCTTTCTCGTCTAAATGTCACTGACTGTCCACAGTTGACTTGGATGCCTACTTTTCCGAACGTTGAGTATTTAGAATGGTTTCGTAGCAGTGTGGAGCCATTAACAGCAACACTAAACTCAACATGTTCAGCCGACTCATCTTTCTCCGCTGCTCCTCTTTCCATGCTCAAAAAATTGACAATGTCTGATCCTATGAATTTACCTAAAGGTTGGATGCAAAATCTGATTTCTCTCCAGTGTCTTCAAATTCAATGGTATGACAGCGAAACACTCAATGAATTTGAAACTGGGTTTAAGGACGACACCAACTGCCTTCCTTCTCTGCGACAAATCAGCATAATTAGGTGTGAAAGGCTAGAGGCTTTGCCAGATTGGATTTGCAACCTCTCATCGCTTCAGCACATGGAGATCTCACTCTGCCCAAAATTGGCATCGCTCTCCGAAGGAATGAGTGGTCTTACCAACTTAAAGATCATTGAGGTTGATAATTGTTCCCTCTTAAGTAAAGAGTGTCGAATAGAGACAAGTGCTGTTAGTCGCCAAATCTCACACATTCCACAAATAATCCTTCGTGATTACTGATAATAAAGGTACTGATATGATTCTGATGCGTATTTATTTAGTGTAAACGTAGTGTATTGTCTTTGCTTTGCTGATAAAATACTTTTGACTAATTTTATTTTTTTTGCTTTGCACTTATATTATTACAAAAATATAATTTTTAAATTAAAATTTATATATTTAATTATTAATAATAAATATTTTATTATATTAATAAGATTAAATTAAAGAAAGATAATTATAAAATTTGTATTAGAATTTATTTATTTATGGCATAAGATAATAAATTTCATTATTTTATCAATTAATATTTTGTCTACATGCTTAAGTTTTATTTATCATGCTTTTCAATGTACAATTTTAAATATGTTTGCTAAAATAATGCATAATAATAATTTTTTTCTTTTTTATTGCTTTTGTTAAAGTTGTCAGAAATGCTTTAATGATTCAGTTGGTTGGAGATTAAACAAGCAGAGATATTTAAACTGATGAAGCAACTTCGTTAAATCCTACTGTGTGAGTGCATCTATTGAAGTTTATTTTGATATTATTTTGCCCATCATAACGGGGATAACATCTTTTCAAAAGAAGCTCATAAGAACCCAATTTCTTCCTTAAAATTGACTTGGTGCTTGCTCAATGCAGGTTGGATTATGTTTGGCCTAGGCTCATACTTTTAGAATAGTATTGATTTCATAGTTTTCTTAGATAATAGATAAAAAAATTTATGTAAGGCTAGTATTTAATTTCTTCTGCATAGTAGTAATATATTTGTTTAATTGGTAATTGTTTTAATTCATATGTTTAATATGTATGCACAATGCTATCTAAGGAGCTTTGATGTTCGTAGTCTTCCGATTTATCATGGTGTATTTTATATTAAATTTGATCTATGATTGTAATTCTCCAATACAAAAAGTCCATTACTATTCTTTACATTTTTCTAATATTTGAGCATTAAATTCTTTCTAGGCTTCCTTTTTACCTTTCGCAATTTTGATATGTTGTTCTCCATATAAGAATAGATTTTGTCACGACCTCTTTAATGTTGTTCTCCATATAAGAATAGATTCTGTCACGACCTCTTTTTTGTAAAAGATGCATGATATACTAATGCAACTTTCTCTTATGAAAAATTACCGTAATTTGGAAAATCCAAGACATATCTCACGATTATCGGCAGAGTAAAACTTATGGTTTCAATACTAAAATAGAACCTCAAGGCATCATCACAAGAGTCAAAAAAGGATCTTTCGTATATAATCTTGCATAATCTCGAATGTTATCAGTTCCGGTATGTAGACCAAATGATACAATGCAAGCAAAAGTTCTTAGATTCATGTAGATATAGAACAACATATAAGTTATCATGCTTGCATATCCACCATTTGAGTCTCCAACAATTATTCCAATAATTACATATCCGATTTGACCTATGGACGAATACACAAGCATAAGTTTCATGCTTGTTTGGGTAATAGCAATAAGATTCCCCAATATCATGCTAAGAATAGCTAGGATTTCCAGAAGAAGATGTCATTCGCTTGATGAGAAATAAAAAGGAATATCAAAAATTTAAGTGGCTGAAGTTGAAGCAGCTACTTTCGAAGCAATAGAAAGAAAAACAACGACTGGAGTGGGAGAGTCAGAGTCAAAAAGAGGATTCATTACTTCTTTCTCTCATTCAAAACTGTGTATGAGACTTTCATCTCGCACGGCTCCTAAGTGATAAAAGAAAGAAGATGAGTTCTTCTTTCTTTGTTGATTACCTTCCTCGCATATGTATAAGACTGAATCCTTTCGATTTTGAATTTTCAAAAGGATTAATATACATAATATTCTGTAATGTTATATACATAAGAGTTGCTTGATCTAGAGCTTAAAATACATATTATAAACAAAATTACATGTCTCCAAAAATTTTGACTAAGTAGCCTAAACTATAACTCTTCAAAAGGCATGATAAACCCCAAATATCCCTTAGCAAGACTGTCCAGCATGGGGAGTAGATGCATCACCTGTCACTTCTGCTCACGTACGGTCATTGCAGCACACATACCAACACAACAAAAATGTAAGGGTGAGCTTATATAAATAACAAATATAATTATAGAATATGAATATATTAAAATTATCTACACAACTTATACAATTCACAATAATTAGCATAATAGTCTTAATCAATTGATGCAGCATGTTCAGCCCTTTCCCAGCCCATCTAATGTAGATGCAGCGATTCAGTCCAGTTGGTTTCACAACCTAAGTAATTCACAGGAACTGTTTCCGGTCTGGGAGCAATCCAGCCCAGTATCTGGATGCAGACACAACACAACTCAGCATTTCTATCATTGCATGCCTAACCACCTAAACATGTAACTTGGTGAGCTACAGCGATAGAGCTCCAAAATGCCTTGTTCTGCACAGCCCGTTCTTGCTACAACGAGAGATATCTCGCTGCAGCGAGTTGTCCTACAACCCAACATCAACCAAAATCTCCCAACTCACATAATATGCATTAAAATTTTACTCAACAACCATACAACTTATACACTAATTTCAAGCCATTTCACACCATAACCATCATACGACATCACACCTAAAACATAGGGACGTCGTAGTTAAATGAATACATCATTAATTCTAAAAGATAAATAGGTATACACTTAACACAAGCTTGACAATTCTCCCCTCGAAAATTCACTCACCTGGGAAAAGATAGGGGCATTGCTCTCTCATCCGATCCTCCAACTCCTATATGGCATCACTAGTAGCTGGATCCCAAACGACTTTCACTAGTTGGATGGATTTGCCTCTAAGCTCCTTTACTCTAGTGTCCTCCTTTATTGGTCCCCTACGATATAGTATCTGATACGGCCCAATGAACTTAGGAGTCAGCTTCTTTGCTTTTAAAGCTCGTCCCACACTTGTAGTTTGTGATACCCTAAAAAATATGTGATCACTCACCTCAAACTCTACCGTCGATCAGCATATGATTTCTGATGACTCTAAGTCGCTATCAGTCTCTTTCAGATCAACTCAACTTGTTTTGTAGTTTTCTGAAGCATCTCAGGTCCAATCATCATACGAACTCCATCTTGGAACCAACAGATAGGTTTCTGACATATCCTACCATACAAGGCCTCAAAAGGCGTCATGCTGATGCTTGAATGGTAGCTGTTATTATAGGTATATTCTACCAGAGAAAGCATATCCTTCCAATCGCTCTGATCAATAACACAAGCTCGTAACAAGTCCTCCAAAGTTTGAATGGTCTGCTCCGATTGGCTATCAGTTTGCGGGGTAGTAAGCTAAACTTAGCCTCAACTGAGTACCTAAAGCCTCTTAAAAGCTCTGCCAGGTGAAGCAAGGATCCTTGTTAAAGATGATACTGGAAGGTACTCTATGTAACTTAACAATCTCTTTGATATACAGCTTAGCAAGTCATTCCATGGCATAGGTCATGTTAACTGGCAGGAAGTGAGCACACTTAGTCAGCCTATCAACTATGACCCAGACAACATGATTTTTAACAATTCTCGGCAAATGGGACACGAAGTCCATGGTCACACTTTCCTATTTCCACTCAGGAATCTCTGTGGCTTATAGTTCTCTAGGTGGACAACAACATTCTGCTTTTGCCTTTTGACAAGTCAAATAGGCCTTGACAAATTTGGCTATTTTACCTCTTATGCCCGACCACCAAAACGTCTGTTTAAGATCTTGATACATTTTTGTCACTCCAGAATGGAGATTTAGGCTACTCTCATGACCTTCTTCTAGAATCTTACTCCTTAACTTGACACCCCTTGGAATATAGACCCTTTAGAGCAAAGATCAATAACTAACTCAAGGTCATGCGTGGGGTAATTCCACTTATGGTTTCTTAATTGGCATGACGCATACGCCACCATTTTCTTGTTTTGCATCAATATGCATCCTAAACCTTGATACGATGCATCACAATACACCTCAAAAAGTCGGCCGATATCTGGAAGAATCAACACTAGAGAGGATGTCAACCTCTGCTTCAGCTCATTAATGCTCCGTTCATAGTCCTCTGTCTATACAAAGGGTTGATCTTAGCAAGTTAATTGCGTTAAAGGGGAAGCCACCTTGCAAACCCCTCTATAAACTTTCGGTAGTAACTCGTCAAGCTCATAAAACTGTGAATCTCAGTTACTGTCTTCAGCGTTTTCCATTGCAACATTGACTCTACTTTTGAAGCGTCAATTGCAATCCCTTCAGCCGAGATCACATGATCAAGGAACTTTACTTCCTCAAGCAAAAATTCACACTTGGACAATTTGGCATACAACTGTTTCTCTCTCAAAACTCCCAGAACAATCCTCAAATGTTCACCATGCTCCTCCTTTGAACTAAAATAGATAAGAATGTCACCGATGAACATCACCACGAACTAATCCAGAAAAGGCCTAAAGATCCAGTTCATGTAGTCCATAAATATCGCTGGGGCTGGTAACTGCAAAAGGCATTACTATATACTCATAGTGCCCATACCGAGTTAGAAAGCCAGTTTTTAAATGTCATCGTCCTTAACCCAAATTTGATGATACTCAGACTTTAGTTCAATCTTAGAGAACACCTTAGCACCTCTCAGCTAGTCCATCAAGTCGTCAATCCGTGGCAACAGGTATTTATTCTTAATGGTCAACTTATTCAACTGACAATAATCCACACAAAGTCTAAAACTTCTGTCTTTCTTTTTTACTAGAAGAACTAGTGTTCCTCGAGGCGACACACTCGGCCTAATCATCTTTTTCTACATTAGATCCCTAATCTGATCTTTCAGCTCTATCAGTTCTTTTAACACTATTCGATAAGGTGCTACCGATACTGGTTCAGCTCCAAGGATTAAGTCTATACCAAATTCTACCTCCCTAGGTAGGGGTATTCTAGGGACATCATCTAGAAATATTTCAGGGAATTTTCGCACTATTGGTATCGATAGAAGCTACTGCTCTTGCTTTACACTCATAATGGCCAAAAGAATGAAGCATGAA